GCTCTGATCTACATTACCTATGTAGATTGTAAAAAGGGTGTGTCCTAAGACTGAGCCTTGTGGTACACCATTGTTGGCTGTTAAATAACTGGAGGAAATACCACTATGTTGAACACATTGCTTCTGATCTGAAAGATACCGGTAGTTGGAGAACCAACAAATGTTCTGTTCTGAGAAACCAATTTCTGAGAGCTTATAACATATTGCGAGTATCTAGTCAATTTTGACAGTTTGGCTGATATTTGAGATCTAAACCTGCCCATTTTTGGAATTTCCCATCAAAAGGAGTTTAAAGTCTAAATGCTTTATAAGTCATTCAATCAGAATTGAGAAAAAAAAGACATCCAGCTGATTAAATGTCTGAGACTTATTTGAGTTTGGATGGAGACTGTACAGTGAATAATTAAGATCAAATAAGCCAGAAAAAGAAGCTACTCTCAGGACTTCCAGCTTTAAGGCAGATGTGTGACATCCAGTGCTGACAAAGCCCAAAACACAAATTTACCAAAGTGGTACACACAAGCTCACGTACTTTTGACAGCTGAAAATGCAAATTTATGCTCTGCAGTAATGAGGCCTGTGTTAACCCTCCAGGCTGATGTAATGCTGTGGAAACTGTTTGGGGGACACTTTGGCCCTCAATAAATCATGGCCTGAACTGGACTACCTGTTAAAAACATTAGAGCTTCAAACTGGACACACACTCTTTGTGTAAAATGGTATCATGTGTAAACGAAATGGAACATGGATGAATTGTAAAACCTTGCAGTTGTGAAGAAAACGCACTTGAAGTGTTTTGATCTCGAGCGCTCGTTAATTTGCATGATTTCACACGTTTTTATATAATTTATTCTTACAGAACAGTATACTACAAACTTTGTCTTTGTAGTTAGGAGATATTAGTGACTATATTTTCTTCTTAAAGGATTTTATTGCTCCGTCAATAGAGAGGACGAAGTCAGACTCTTGTGAACCGTCAGCAGCTGGTTTCTTCATTCAGACCTGCTGCTGCTGCTGAACCAGCTTTGGTTGTGAACCTCACAGGAAGAACTCAGGCCATCAAATCATTAAAGATCTGACTCAGATTTTAGGATATGATCAGCTACTGTTACCGCTGACATCCCTAAAACATCGGCCGGTGTTGTGCCAAAAATCGATTGGCTGCCAAACAAGAATTTAACAAGATTATCACTTAAAAACAACTATTTGTTTGCTCGACATTATAGTAAAGGTGTGTCTCAGTTGAACTTTTACTTAATAAATGCACTTTAATGGTCAAATCAGCTTGATTTCGCCGGGGCGGCGCAGCGAAATGAAGCTGATTTGGCGGTTGCTCCAGGCATGATCCTGAGGTGGGACGAAGGTGGCTGCTATGGCAAGCCGATAGTGTCATTAATAGCCAATTTTACCTATGACATGACACAACGGCATGCCATACTACTCAGGTGCCATCTAGTGGCTGAAAATGGTAGTGTTCAATATTTTCCATGTCAGAATGAATGAAAACGGTCATATCTCAGTTTGAACATTGGGTTATCAATATGGGAGAAAAAATATATAAATAAGTGGCAGGGTACGCAAATTAGGCAAAAGGTGTAACTTATATACCAGAAAAAATAGTATATCACATATTATATATATATATATATATATATATATATATATATAATTACAAAATTGTCACTTTGACCTATATTAAATGTAATAATTCAGACTCATGCTAGTTCTGTGCATAAAATAATTCACAAAACAATTTTGAGATTTACAAGGTTGTTGAAAAGTTGTTGAACGAAACCAAAAGAACCGCAAAAACAAAGCAACTGGACTTGTTCTCTGTTAGTGGAAGATGATTTACTTCCCATTCGGGACGTTTTTCTAGACGATGAAATTCCAACCTTCAAACTGCATGAGCTCTGAAAGCATATAGGAATACATTAAACATTTTTACTGTCAGACTTTATAGTCCAGGCAACAATTCAAGTTTAAATTAACCATTTTTTTGTAAAAAGGAAACTTTAAATCAGGAGCTATGTCATAAAACACTTATAATAAAGTGGTCTGAATCATCCAAGATGACAGACAGCTGGGTAGTAAGGACTCAGTAAGCCAGCAATTAGTCAGACAGACTATTCTTTCAGAGCAAGTAACTTTTTCCATGGGGTTTATTGGCTGACATGCTACACTGACAGGTCCATAAACAGCTAATGGTTCCCATTTGTGCTAATTGGGTCTAAAGTGGAGTCTGCTGAGCTAACTTATAACGTAAGGTGAGCTTTAATGAGTAATTTTGTATCTCTTCCAGGGGGAAAATCCTTGGAGTACAAAACGGAAAGAGGGAAAACATTATGCCCTCATGGAGTCTGACTGAAACAAAGTGACAGCAACGGAAAGAGGCCTTTTTGTCCCACAGAGCGACGGATGAACTTCATCTTTCTGAATCTTCAGAAAATCCACAAAACAACGAGCTTCAGATCGACAAATCTGTCCGGTTTTCCCTTCATGTTTTCTGCCAACTAACCAGAGGAAGACTTTTCCAGCTCTGATCCCAGCTATGCTTCCCCTCACCTCCTCCCTCCTCCTCCTCCTCCTGGCTGGACCAGCTCTCCTGACCCCATCACCCTCCACAGAATCGGAGAGGAGACCAAGAGGTGTTGAGCAGGACTCCATTAAGGTGATGCTTGGTTTAAAAGGCTGAATGGACTGAGACTTGTTACATTTGGTTCAAATATATAATTTTATTATAAAACTATATCCAGTAGCTGTGTCTGGACATCAACCTCGTGTTGTTTCCTGATGCAGCTACTTATAAGGGTCAGATGTTTGAGGAAACTGGGAGGAATGGTAGAAAATCACAAGAAAACAATACCAGTAGTGCATTTATTCAGTTAAATAAGCAGCGCCTAAAACTGGAGTCTATACTAATTTGACTTTTAGGTAAATGTTTAAAAAGTGCAATAACACAATGAACTCACATGACAACTTTATGTGCAGTTTGAATTTATTGGACCCTGATGAGACTATTAGTGATTTGAGGGATGTGTCACACATGTAAAAGTAATGTGAAGTTAATAACTCCATTTACCATAAATAGCTGTTTATGGGTGCACAACAAATTGGAGCAGCTGATTTAACCACAGAGGCACAAACACTGGCTGGCTCGTAAGCTTCATCCAGTAGTTCGGAAACAAATCTTTCCTAAAACCAGTGGAAACATGGTAACAAGCTGAAACAGGAGATGGGTTTGCTTTACACAGGAGACAGAGGGTCTCTCATCATTCACATCATAATGTTTTGGAAACCTGCTTCAGGACACAACCAGGAAACTCGACTGAAAACATCTTTAATACAACTGAGACTGAAGAATTTAGGTTGAGGAACACAACCATAAATTAAAACGGTTTACTATTGAAAAGACGTTGCCTTTGTTGTATTTGAAGCACTTTTATTTGCATGTCCTCTGTGATGGAAGTTGTAACATATTTGGTCTTGGAAGGACTACACAGTTTATCTGGTTTACCTTTTCTGTTGTTGCAGGTCGTGATCTCAGAGGGATGTGCCTCTCAAGGAGATTCATCCAATGTGAGCCAAGGAGGTAATAGCTAATGATCGGACAACAGTTGTTATTGGTAGAACCTATTTGTAAAGTTTAGATCTGGGGTCTGCAACCTGCGGCTCTGGAGCCACGTGTGGCTCTTTCGCCCCTCTGCAGCGGCTCTAAGTTTTGACCAAAACTAACATAAAACTGAAGTTTACTGGTTGATGTACCAACAACAAGAAATGGCTCATTTTAGCAGCTTTCTGGTCATTTTGTTTGCCAACATGTGAATGATAGTACTAACACAAGGAGTAAAACTTGACTAAAGCAGTATCTCACTACTTCACCGTTTGACTTCTGCAGACTCGCTCTTTCGCGGTTTTTCAAAGTAAGCATGGACTTGACACACAATTGGCTGGTTGATGGATGAGCCGCATGATCAACATGTATTTTTTTATTTAAAATAAATTATTTAAAATTATTTAGCACCTGCTGCAACTGTGTGCAGCCCACAGGTGCAGGGAGAAGCTCCTTCCTGCAGCATGTCGATATCCGCTCTGCAACAAAGAAGTGGGCGTGGCCAAGAGCGCTGGCAGGTGGCAGAGAGACTCATGACACGCTGTGCTCCTTTAGAGCATTTAGAGTTTAGACACAGTGTTTAGAATATTGCAAGCGTGCTGAAGGGTTTAAAATGCTACACATATATATATATATATATATATATATATATAGTAAAAAAAGCCTACTACTTACTACTACTTGTACTACTATTCCTACTTCGCAGTTTTTCACTGATCGCAAGGGGACTGAGAACAGAAAACCCCGTGATAAATGAGGGACTACTGTACATCATGCTAGTAGTTTGTTAGTCACTTCTTTTAGCTCACGTTCAGTCTTACGGTGTGATCTTTTTCTCAAATCCACCAAATGTTTTGGGGGGAATACATTTAAGGCAAGTTGCTGAGAAGAAATATGGTGCGTCAACTTGAAAACAATAAAAATTAAAAACAAATAAACAAAGTCAAAGTAAATGCAAGTATTTATTTTGATTTTTAAATTCAATTACGTATCCAACAAACTGGCCTACTTTTTAATGCTACGCTTTATTACTTCATAATGGGATAGTTTATGAATTTTCTCCACGTTTACAAACACATAAGCCTGCACTTGTGTTTGATTTTTTATAAATTGGTAAAAAAAAAAAGTTTTTTTTCTTCTTTACATAAATCCAGTATTTTCTTTTGCACTAAAACATAAAAATATCAATAATAATTTGATATTTTAGTTTCATAATATCACAACTACTGGCTGGTAAAGCCCTCTCCAACAAGCTTGAAGTGGCCCATAGGCCACCAGTTGATAATCACAGTTTTAGCAGGTTTTGCAGCTCCATAAACATTTTGTTTAGGGTGCAAAGGAGCAGAAATGGCTCTTTGATCATAAAGTTTGCAGACTCCTGGTCTAGATGAATGGCTCTATCATGGGTGGGTGGTGGGGGGTGTTTGAGATGCTTACAGCTTTTGTGTTTCGCAGGTAAAGAAATCAGCCTGGATCCTGGTTCTCCTCTGGTCCTGACTCATAGGATCAAACTGGTTCCATCAGGGTCCGGTTTATGCGGCTGCGAGGCAGACTTTGCAGCCCTACGGGAACGACTGGAACGTCTGGAGAGGGAAGTGTCCGACCTGAGGGAGAAGTGTGGAGGAGCTGGGGGAAGCTGCTGCACATCGGAGAGCAAAGGTTAAACTGGTTGTTTCTGCAGATATGAGCTTTAATTTTATGTTCCACTGCTGAACATTATCAGACATTTAGTTATTTAATCAAATACTTGAGTCATGTGGACATTTTCAAATAAACACTTAAACTATATTGAAATAATTTATTTAACTTGAAATCTCAGAAAGAGCAAAGCAGCAGAAACTTTTTTTTAACGAGTTTAAGTGTCCGAAACACTTATAGAATTCAATCAATCAATCAATCAATCAATTCAACTTTATTGTCCATAACATTCAATGAAATGGAGATTTGTCTTTGACATATGGCTTATAAAACAAAATAAAAATGTGATTAAAAACTCTAAAAAACTTAAAACCAAACTTTGCTAAATCAATTTACAACATTCAGTTAAAACCATTCTAAAATACACAATACATTAGAATATGAAAACATCTCAGCAGACAGTGGTTTGTTATGTGAGGCTGCGTTTAAATAGAACCTTGTTAAGTACATTCACCGCAGAGGGAACAAATGACTTTTTGTACCCGTTTTTCTTTGCTAAAGGAACCAGGAGTCTTCTACCAGATGGTACCAACCTGAATAATGGTTGCAGTGGATGAGTTGGGTCATTGTAAACCTGGATTGCCTTTTTTTCCAGAACCTGACTGTACAGGTCTGTAAGTGTCATTTGTTGATGACCAATGACTTTACTACCTTGTCTGACCACCCGGGACAACTTGTTCCTGTCTCTGGCTAGGAGGTTCCCATACCATGAGACAATATTAAATGAAACAACACTTTCAACCAGTGACCTGTACACCAACTGCAAAGTAATTTTGCTTGCATTAAAGCTCCTTAGCTTATACAGAAGGTGGAGACGCTGTCTAGCTTTTTTGTAAATATAGTCAGTGTTGGGTTCAAAGGTCAACTTGTTGTCAATTATTGTTCCAAGGTATTTAAAATCAGTCACCTGCTCTACTTCCTGCCCTTTTATAATAGAAGGCCTAAAAGTAGGTCTGGTGCTGGCTGCTCCCCATCTACCTCCCAAACAAAGTTCCTTGGTTTTACTGACATTAAGGGCCAGGAAACTGTCATCAAACCAGATAGAGAGCTGGTCTATGAGCTGGGAGTAGGAGGGACTGTTGGTGTCTTTCAGACCAGCAACTAGGGCAATGTCATCAGCATACTTAATTAATGTGAAATCTTTACTGTTGTGTTGCAACTCATTTGTGTATATAGAGAATAAAAGCGGCGATAGCACGCAACCCTGTGGAACACCAGTGTTCAAGACCCTACAGTCAGATAGAGTGTTGTCAACACAAACTCGCTGGGGTCTTCCTCTTAAAAAATTGCTAATCCACAACACAAGATGGCTGCTGACATTTAGATCACACAGGCGTTTCAAAAGTATATGTGACTGAACCGTATTAAAAGCAGATGAAAAGTCCATGAATAATATGCGAACAAATGTCTTTGGGTTATCTAAATGATTATGGACCTTGTTGAGGAGGGAGAGAGTGGCATCCTCCACCCCTCGGTTAGTCCTATATGCAAACTGCAAAGGGTCCATATGCTCAGCTGTAACAGACATGAGTTCTCTGCTCACTAAGCGCTCCATACATTTGCATAATACAGATGTGAGGGCAATTGGTCTGAAGTCATTCAGTGCCTTTGCATGTGTTATTTTGGGCACCGGGACAATAGTTGACATTTTCCATGCTTGTGGGACAAAGCTAGTGTTAAGAAACAACTCAAATATCTGTTTGAACACAGGACCCAGCTGTGTGGCACATTCTTTTAATACCCTTCCCTTAATCCCATCTGGCCCAGCTGCTTTATGAGGATTGATGTTCTGAAAAATTGAAATTACCTCTTTCTCCTGTAATTCCACAGGAGTTGGTGTCAAGGCTGCACAGAAAGAGTCAATCTCATCACTGAAGTCATGGATGTCAAATCTTGAATAATGAACATTTAGTTTATTTGCAAGACCAAAAGGGTCAGTGTGCTGAAGGGAATCTTTTTGTTTCCTCCCCATTATTGTGTTCAGTCCCCTCCAGGCATCTCTTGCATTGCCATTACTCAGTTCCCTCTCAACTTTATCTTTATAATTTATTTTAACTTTCTTAATCATGCAACTTATTTCCTTCTCTAGTTCCCTCATCTTTTGCATATCTCCTCCTCTAAAAGCTGCTTTCTTTTGGTTTAAAAGATGCTTAATTTCTTTATTTACCCAAGGTTTATTATTAGGGTAAAATCTAACTGTTTTTGTTTTGATAATATTGTCCACACAAAATTTAATGTAACTGGTGATGGTAAAATTCAGCAGTTCAGAGTTTTCAGCAGAGACATCCTCGCTGAAGAACAGGCTCCAGTCAGTCAGTTCAAAACAATTCATCAGCTCATCAACAGAGTCTGTTGTCCAGCACTGAACAGTCTTAACAGCAGGTTTCTCCCTCTTCAGTTTCTGACGATATTTTGGCAGCAGGTGGATGACGTTATGGGCAGACTGGCCGAGGGGTGGGCAACACCTGGCCACGTACCCTCCAAATTACCAAAACATTTATCAAGAGTCTTGTCTTTTCGTGTCAGACAGGTCACATATTGTTCTAAGTTTGGGAGATAAGTGGGAATATCGCAACCATTAAAGTCGCCAAGTAGGAAGATCGGGTCATCCACAGAGTGACGTTGTGCCTTGGTGTAGCTGTCAGTTATGCGCTCAGCTGCTAAAGTGAAGTCTGGTCCGGGCACGTAAACCAGAATAACAGTGATCTGTCTGAACTCACGGGGCAGATAGTAAGGGCGAAAGGATACAGTCATGATCTCATAGTGTTTTGAACAGTCAGTCTCACGGATCGTCATGTTAGTTGCCCAGCGATTATCCACAAACATGCACAACCCACCTCCAATGCTTTTCTCCGTGCGCTGTGTGTCTCTGTCAAAACGGAGTGTCGTATATCCCTCCAGGTCAGTGACGTCATCGTTCTCCGTAAGCCAGGACTCAGTGAAACATAGAAGGTTGGCTCTCCTGAAATCTCTGTCATATTTCAAAAGTCCAGATAACTGCTCCATCTTATTCCTTATTGAACGCACGTTGGAGAGCGTGATTGTCGGGAGGGGGAAGCGGCTGCCCCTCCTTTTAAGCCGGTTCCGTATTCCTCCTCTGGATCCACGCATTTTCTTTTTAGCTGTACCGGTGCTTGATTGATTTACTGACCGGGTTATTTCAGGGCAGCTGTGGAGAAGGGTCGGGGGAGAAGTGCTGGTTTGTTGAAAAGTCAGCAGGTAATTCCGAGAATAGGTAATCCACTGTTCCGTGTATCCAAACGGCCTGCTCTCAGCATTTAAAATGCCCCATATAGTCCAAAACAATAGCCAAACCACTAATTTTGTTAACACATTTCTTGCCATGTTTGCCAAGCATAAACTGTTCTGCAGTATTATATATAAAAAAATTTAAAAAAAAAATACGATATAATAGATCAAAAAAACTGACAAACAACAAGCAAGCCAGACGCCCAGGGTCAGCACTTGCGCATGCGCCCCTCCTAATAAAAAAATTAATGTTACAATTGTGACTTATAGAAAAAAAATAACGTGATGATCATAAGACTGCTTTTTTTTTTAAAGAAGTGTGAATCAAAATCTCTATAAATTCAGGAAACCTTCAAGGCCTCAATGTTTACCCACCAAAATAATTCATCATGATCTGAACTGAACTCATTTCCTGCAGATACATATTTACTGTTGAAGTAATGGTCGTCAAAAGTTCAACCAAATCTGTTCCATCTCAAATAGTCCATTTAATCAAAGCGAAAAGAATCTGATGCAAATGATGTAAACGGGTCATACAAAGACAAAGAGTGAAAACAAACAAATCGTTGTTATGGGTAATAAAATGATGACAGAGAGAATGGTAGTAATTTTATAGATGCTGATCAAAGAACTGCTTGCACATAATAACAAACCAAAACATTGCCCCTGGAAAAAAGAGGAAAAACAATGACAGAACAATAACTTCCTATTTAATAAAGCTGCAAAAGTTCTTCATTGGATATTAAAATTTTAACGTTTTCTTAATATTTTGTGCAAGAACAGAAGATGTGTTTACAGCAACATGTGGTCAAAATATTTTAGTTGCATTAAAAAAAAATCCCCTTTCTGCTTTCCATTTGCTGCATTTGGTGATGAATTCTTGTTTGGTGACACCATAACACGAAGAAAACTTCAAAAGCAGCATCACTCATCACTTTATTGCACATCAGTTTATTAATAAATTACCTCATATTTAAAACGACACACAGCTGCCTGAAAGTTTAAAGAAGGAACCCTCAATTCATTTCTGTTGAAACTGAAATAAATATGATCATGTGATCTCACTCATTTCTGACAGCGATCTTCATGAACTCCTCACATATTGTAACAGAATTATATCAGTAAGTTAAGAACAAATCTGTATGTAATTCTGTACAAACTGTAGAGAACACAAAGTATATGGTGTGTTCGCTATAATATTAAGGAATTAATCTAATTATGTTGGAGTCAAAAATGAAAAACACATCCATTTTTGTCTCCCCGAGATGTGCAGAAAATATTCCAGATTCTATTTTTATATATTTTAAGTTACTTTTCTGAACGGTTTTCTTACAGAAGGTGCTGTAAAAGATGCTTTAGACTCGTTGAAGAGCTTATCAAAGACCCAGCCCTGCAATGTGATGTTCCTTTTTAAACCTTAAAACCATAAATTACCATAAAATACCCACAGCTGGGTTAATTTTTTGGATGTACCAAAATTGCATCATGGACCAACAGAAATCAGGTTATGAGCTAACAGCGCTCAGGGTATTACTCACTTTTTGGATCCAATCTTCTTTGGGAGCACAAAGGCAAATTCAGGTTAGATTTGATTAAGTTGTGAGGAAATGAAGGTAAATTTAATCTGAAGTTTATGTATGTGTGTTACTACCCAGCTCTGTGCCCACTGTGACCTCAGCCTCTTATACCCAGTGGACTTCCTCCACCCTCGCTCCCATACACAGACATAAGGGCTCAAACCCTCAAAACAAGGAAGTTTTGTACAGTCTAATTAGAATAGATTACCCCCTTTCCTCCACACACACAAAAAAATGAGCAAAGCATGGCAACGAGTGAAAAATATTTGTTCTAGGTTTGTAGTAGGTCTAGATAAATGAGTCAATAGCAATGTCCCTAAACTTTCTTGAGCATCAAGATCCATGATGGTCCACAATGGCCTATCAAAGCACTGATGCCTTAGCCTAACACAAAAAATACAAATACCGTACGTTTCAGACTACAAGGCACACTTAATTCTCTCAAAAATCAACAGTAAGCCTTATAACCTGGTGCGCCTTATGTATGAAAACAGACCTGTTCATTGATATTTTGTCTTATAATCTGGTGCACCTTATAGTCCAAAAAATACAGTATCATAAAAAAGTTTTTTTTCCCCTACAGAATAATATACCAGTAATCCATTTAAATCTTTTTGTGATTGTGTTGAGTTTGACCCATCATTTCAAAAAGCTAAAAGAAAACCTTTTCTGGACGTTTCTCTTTCCTGCAGGTGCTGGCTGTTCGATAAAATCGGATACAGAGGACTGTCCCAATGAGTGCAGCGATCAGGGTCGCTGTGTGGACGGCAAGTGCGTCTGTTTTGCTGGTTATAGTGGGACAGACTGCAGTCAGTCCAACTGTCCTGGGAACTGCAACAACAATGGGAGATGTGTAAACGGAGAGTGTGTGTGCGACCCTGGCTTCTCTGGTCTGGACTGCTCCCAGAGAGTCTGCCCAAACAACTGCAACAACCAGGGCAGGTGTCTGAATGGAAAATGTGTGTGTGACAGTGGCTTCACGGGTCCAAGTTGCTCAGAAGAATCCTGTCCTGGGAACTGTAACAGAAGAGGGAGCTGTGTTGATGGACGGTGTGTGTGTAGTCCTGGATTCACAGGTTCAGATTGCTCTAAAAAGGCCTGTCCTGATAACTGCAACAACCGAGGCAGGTGTTTGAATGGTAAATGTGTCTGCTCCAGTGGTTTCACTGGTGCTGACTGCTCTGGGATAGCCTGTCCCCGAAACTGCAACAACAAGGGTCGCTGTATCAATGGACAGTGTGTCTGTAATGATGGATTCACTGGTGCAGACTGCTCTGAAAGGGCTTGCCCCAACAATTGCAACAACCATGGGAGGTGTGTTAATGGTAAATGTGTCTGCAAAAGTGGTTTTACCAGTGCAGACTGCTCTGAGATAGTCTGTCCTATGAACTGCAACAACAAGGGAAGCTGCATCAATGGACAATGTGTTTGTAATGATGGATTCACTGGTGTTGCTTGTTCTGAAAGAGCTTGTCCCAACAACTGTAATGACCGAGGTAGGTGTGTCGATGGTAAATGTGTCTGTGACAGTGGTTTCACCAGTGAAGACTGCTCTGAGATAGCCTGTCCAGGAAACTGCAACAACAAGGGGCGCTGCATTGATGGACAATGTGTTTGCAATGTTGGATTTACTGGCACAGACTGTCTGGAAAAAGCTTGCCCTAATGATTGTAACCAAGTTGGGAGGTGCATTGATGGGAAATGTGTCTGTAACAGTGGCTTCACTGGTGAAGATTGTTCTAAAATAGCCTGTCCTGGGAACTGCAACAACAGGGGGCACTGCACCAATGGACTATGTGTTTGTAACGATGGATTCACTGGTGTTGCTTGTTCTGAAAGAGCTTGTCCCAACAACTGTAACGACCATGGTAGGTGTGTTGATGGTAGATGTGTCTGTGACAGTGATTTCACCAGTGAAGACTGCTCTGAGATAGCTTGTCCTGGGCACTGCACCAACAGGGGACGCTGTATCAAGGGAGAGTGTGTTTGTAATGATGGATTCACTGGTGCTGACTGTTCTGAAAGAGCTTGTCCCAACAACTGTAATGACCGCGGTAGGTGTGTTGATGGTAGATGTGTCTGTGACAGTGGTTTCATTGGGGAGGACTGCTCTGGGATAGCTTGTCCTATGAACTGCAACAACAGGGGGCGCTGCATCAAAGGACAGTGTGCTTGTGATGATGGATTCACTGGAGCTGACTGCTCTGCTAAGGCTTGCCCCAACAACTGCAACAATCATGGGAGGTGCATGAATGGGAAGTGTGTTTGCACCGTTGGCTTCGCAGGGCCAGACTGTGCTTTCAGAGGCTGTCCCAACAACTGCAACAACAAAGGACGGTGCTTCAGAGGGAAATGTGTGTGCCGGACTGGATTCACTGGACCGGACTGCAGCCAATGTCAAGAGGGCAAAACTGGACCTAACTGTAATACTGGTAAGTCAGACTTAATATGTCATTATTAGCTAAAAGTGTCCCTAAAGGATAATGTGCAGAGATAGCTTGTAACATAGAAATAACTACATTTGGTTTTATTTCACTTTAAAAATGTAACTGTGTGGGTGTGTTGGACATAATGGAGAGATTGCAGCAAAATGCGATGATATACTGGTAGTTGAAAGTATGTTCTATGAGTGTCTTCATTTATCAAACATTCTTCAAGTGAGTGCTAGTCTTTGCACTAAACTTAGGCAGTAAAGGAGTCAATCGTGTCTGTATGGTAGCAAAATATGTCAATTTCAAGATGGCTGCCACAGTTAAACAACTTAATAATAATAATAATAATAATAATAATATGTTATGTATTGTCATTATTGTATGTTCCCATACAATGGCAAAATTGGCTCTCTGCATTTAACCCATCCACCATCAGGTGGTGCAGTGGGCAGCTATTGAAGTCGCCCAGGGAGCAACTGGGGATAGGGTGTGCTGCTCAGAGACACCATGAGATGTGCAATGACTGGGGATGGAGCCTGGGACCTTCGGGTCCCGAGTCGGCTGCCCTGCCTCTACACCATCTTGGCCCCCAAATCCAACACAGTGGCCATAACTAAGTCTATTTTACCATAACTGTGCTAAATATAAGTGTAGTAGTTGCAGAGAGTCAAGACACTAACTCACACTCGAAGTGTGACACTTCAACCATGGTGTCCAAACCTGGTCCTCGAGGTTCCTCATCCTGCATGTTTTAGATGTCCTTTTGCTCTGACACACCTGATTTGAACGAATGAGTGATTAACAAGCTTCTGCAGAACATGAAGCTCTGCTGAAGATCAGGGAAACATTGAAACCATGCAGGATAGTGGCCCTCGTGGGCTAGGATTGGATAGCATTGCACTATAGCATGAAATTGGTCTTAACGTCATTTACAAGGTTGGACTAAATGGTTAAAACCCCATACCTTCTCAGAATAACATGATATTCATTTAGGTGGTGGGCAATACGCCTTCAATTCACCATCAAGGCTTTTATTTACTACTTCATCTTATTACTAAAACTGTGCAGAAATGTCTGTTTATTTCTCCAACGTCATTCCTTGCTAGTTCTCTTTTAGCTGTGTTTTCTTGCTGTTGCTTTGTGTTGTTGTCAGGGTGTGTTAGCGCATTAGCTCGTCTGTTTGGATCTGCTTCAAGCTGCAATCATTCCAATGATGGAACCGTTTCATTAAAAGTGGAACGGGACCAAAACCTGCTGCCCATTAAAGTCCCTCATTTATTTCTGCTAAATGGCTTTCTGTGCTGCATGAGGCGGGCACAAGACAGAAATAAAAGTGTTTCTGATTGTTAAGTGTTCCCCCAGTTGTGGCACCAGCTTACTGTATTTTACGAATAGATGTCCAACAATCCAACGTCCTAAACGATGATGTGGAAATGGTCACATGTACCGGTACATCCATTTGAAATTTAAGCAAAAAGCTCTCACAGATCCTGTTGAAAGCTGCTGATAAATGAGCAAAAAAAGCCAAAACATAAAAAGGCTTTTAAAAATACATTTATTTTTTAGTACAGTTGTGTTTAAATGTGGACTCTCAGCAATAGAAATATAACAGAAGATTTGGAATAAGTAAAAAAAGAAATTCAAGTCATTAAAATTTTTTCTATGACATTGACCTTAGAGAGAGACTTTATTCTAATGAGATTATACAGTTTAAATACAGCAAACAGTAGTTTTATTTGTTGGACAAATCGTGTTGTGGTTTTACACGATAAATTTAATTGCTTCAGATCTTCAAGAATTTCAGAATTTATTGATCCCAAGTAAAAACATTTAATATTAAATTTTCATTTGTTAATTCATTTTTAGAACCTAAAACTGCCATGCTGGAAATAGTAACTTAAAGCCCACGCTAGCTAGAAAACATGATCGGAAATAAATACAGACGCATAAGGCAAAATTAAAACAGAGAACCTGCACAAGACGAGGTCAATGAACAAGACCAGGCTGATTCTGGCAGATCCCGATCATCCACTCCATGGTGAATTCAGGTTGTTTCCATCTGGACGCAGGTGTCTGCTGCCCTGATGTAGAACGAACAGACTGATAAACTCATCCATCCCTGTAGCGATCAGGCTCCTCAATGAACAATGATGATTTCTGTTATTATAATGTTTTAATGTCTAGTATGGATGTTTTATGTGCCTACTGACTGTGAAACCAATTGCCTCTCAAGGATAATAAAGATTCTTGAGTTTGAACTTGCACTTGAGGAAAAACAAGCATAAACACAAATAGTAGATAAAATAATAAATCCCAAAACCATGACACGTGCCAGATAAAGTGAAGGTAGAAATGATGGATATGACAGTGTGAGCACACGGCAATGTAAAAAACCTGACTGGGCTTAAGATTTGAGTTTTAGAAGAATCCACAATGGGGTTTAGGAGTTGGAGTTCAGACAAAGAACAACCTGAGGGACTTCGTTGTTGATCTTGAGCATGAATTTTACGCAGCATCTTGGTTTGATTGCCTGTCTGCTTTCTTTATATTTTGTTCATTACATTTTAAAACATTTATTAGACTGGATAAAGAGCAGTTCTGTGTCACTGACAGAGGACGCTGACCAAAGTAAGTTTCCTCGCAGCACTTGTGACACTTGGACTTTGTTCATTGCTGTGGGGAGCATGACGTCAGGCTCTCGGTGAGCCGTGGACTTTTCAGCTCTAATTTTACGACGTGTTGCGGAGAAACAAGTCTGTGAGTTATTATCGCAGTTCCCAATCATTATGTAGTTGGACATGGTCTGTGTGGCTCCTCCAGCCTGAGATCTGTGACTCTGATAGTGAACGTTGAACACAAACACTCTGCTGTCAGCTGGTGGAGCTGTAAGTGGAGCCTTTGTTAAAAATAATAAAATTAAAAAGAGATTATTTCAGCTGCTGTTTATGTGGATAGATTGTAAAAGTGTAGAACTGTGTGAGCTCCTTCTCTCACAGAACTCAAAGTATTTGTTGAAGACAACTCTCATTTTAGACCACATCAACGTTTAGCTCAACATCTGCAATTTTTACTCTTTTTTTTTTGTGTGTGTTTGTTGACATTGATGAGCTGTGGCGGCAAATTCTACTTTTAAAACTTTTAAAGATCCGTCCAGTGTTTCATGAGAAAATTTGCCGACACATAAGATACGATCGACTAATTTAATATTTGGAGATTAAAACTTGTATATTGTCGCAAATGTGAGATTTTAATGATTGAAGACAAAAATCAATTAAAAACATAACAATTCTCCTACAGCCAATTTTTTTTTTTTTTTGCAATTTTTTTATGTATCCTAAAATTAACATTAGAGTATTTGACTGAACTTTTATTTAAGTTTATATAATGACATTTTAAAATAAAATTTTACATTTTATGAAGAAAAGGAGTGATTCAAGGTAATTCAAGCTAAATTTAACGTTTTTAATTCACAATTAAAATAAATAAAACAACTTGCGACTTTTGCATGCTGCAGTTCTGGTTTTGTATGTGTTAACGCCTAATAAATAAATAAATAAATAAATGCGTGAATAAATAAACAAACATAAATAAATTTAAAAAGATAGATAACTAAATGAGTGAATGAATGAATGAATGAATAAGCACAAATTAATAAACAAACAATTCAATTCAGTTTATATACAAATGAAAGAATAAATAAATAAATAAATGATTGAGTAAATGAATAAATGAATGAGCAAACAAACAAATAAATAAATAAACAACACAAATAAATAAATGAATACATAAATAAATGAATAGATAATTAAATAAGTGAATGAATGGATAAATAAACAAACACAAAAAAATAAGCAAACACAAATAAATGAATGAATGAATAAATACATAAATAGATAACTAAATGAACGCATAAATAAATAAACACAAATAAGGAAACAAACAAATAAATAGATAACTAAATGAATGAATGAATGGATAAATAAAAATGTATTAATTAATTAATTTTGAACATCAGCCACATAAGCTGTAATCCGGCCCTGGTAGCTCATAAATCATAAAATAAGCTGTAATCCGGCCCTGGTAGCTCATAAATCATAAAATAAGCTGTAATCCGGCCCTGGTAGCTCATAAATCATAAACCTGGAGAGAACGTTTGAGGACAAGAGCACTTGCTGCCATCTGAGCTGCGTTACTGTTTCAACCTGCAGATCAGATTAAACACTCCACATTATTGTTGTGGTGCCAGAAAACAGATGGTGTAGGAGTTGGTTGAGGTTGGTGCCAAACTTTGAGAAATCCTTCTCTCTGAGTTTGGTGAGATATGAATCTCAGCTGGACCGAAGCAAAAAGAAAAGATATTTAGTAAAATGACAGATTGATGCCGGATCTTTTGTTCCATCGAGTCTTTACTAAGAGAATAAAATGCAGAAGCTTCCTGGTAAGAGAATCTCTCAGTTTATTTTTAAATGGATGCTCATTTATTGCCATTCTAAAAGCACATAATAAAGATTACAACATGTTCACATTGCTTTTTAATGTTTAATGTGAAAAAGAAAAACATGAACGCAGGCTGTGTTACATGCAGATTTTCCAATTCCCTAACTGGGATATTTAGGAACTGTGACAGATGTGATAAATACGCTAATAAAACTCAAATTACTTTCTGCTGGATTTCATAAAAGACAAAACGATACCCAAGAATACCAGAACTGGAGCAATCCTTACAAGAACTGAAGACATTTTTCTATCTAGAAAAACATTTTTTTTATTCTCTGATTTGTTTCAGAGTCTTGTTTTGTCTAAAATTACCACTTTGCATATTTTGTAGAAGTTTTTTTTTTTACTTTAATTTATATTTTTGAGTGTTTGTTGCTCATATTTCATCACTTCTTGCTTTTTTCTAAACATATCGGGTTTTCTTTGTGTAATGAAGTCACTTAGTGTGTCTTTGTACTCATTCTTTGGCTTATGTAGTTATTTTTTCAGTTGGAGTATTTTTTTGTAGTTGAATTGTGTAATTTGTGTATCTGTCCGTGTTTTCCTGTCTTTTAGTTGCTCCATTGTGTCCTTTAACGTTGTATGTGCTTAGTTTGCATTTATTCTTGTTTGTCTTGATCCTTTTCTACTTTTATTCTTATTTTGTAACTGTTTAATCATTTTATTTTCATATATAGCAAGTAGTTCTTGTAGCCATTTTACATACGTTTATTGTATTCTGTGTTCTTTTTCTACATACTTTGTTTTTGTGTGGTTTTGTGATCATTTTGATTCTCTTTGAGGTAGTTCTACTCATTTGTTGTGATTGTTTTGCTTTTTCCAAAAGACTTAAACCCAAATACGTTGCAGAAAACAAAAATTGTCAGTACTGTGAGCGCCTCATAGTAAAGTATATAACTTCTCATTTAGCCATGGCAGGCGTCTCTCAGCTGAGCGCCCGGAACATCACAGAGTCGTCCGTCACTTTGGTTTGGACCCCACCTCCTGTTCAGTACGAAACCTACTACATCACCTTCACCAGTCAGGTATGTCCATCTGAGGTTATGATTCCTGTATTTTTCCCCTTAAACGCATTTCTACAGAAAGTTCTTGTTGGTGGCCCCCAATCCTTGATAAAGCCTGCAAAATGTCCAGAAGCTCTCAGGGAGATCCAAACAGACATTCTGGTCTTTGTTTCAGAACAGCTTCGTTCATGAGCAACTTGTTCATAAACCAGAAAGTAGGTAAAATGTTGCTCAAACAATAATCACCACAGCAACAGTGCAATTTGTTTGAGATTATTTGTAATATTCCTAAAGGCTCAATAAGTAAAAACTGAAATTATTATAGTTGTCAATAAAACGTCAATCATCCATCGCTTACCTTTAATTCTTCTTCCTTGATTTTGTCTGCTGGCGCTCCATCATCTTATTGTTTAAGCCAAACGAACTGGTTTATTCCTGCCATAAAAGCTCCAAAACCAGGTGTGGCAGAAACTAACACCTCGTTTCTCTTCTGAAAACACATGCTGCATTTCCTGAGTGATTCTCTTTAAACCCGGATTTCAGGACATTCCCCTTCCCTCACCGGAGCCGTGTACGATCCAGCATGAAGGTGTGACGTCAGCGACAGAGTTGGCAGCACAACCAGCATCAAACCAGCTGCTGCTCTGGTCGAAATGGGAAACAATAAAAGAAACATTGCAGCATAATTTGTCTGAGGGATCAGCTCAGTCTACAGGGAGCTAATATCATTTAAGTTTCATTTCTCTTTGCCCTTATGAGCCTTTGTAGCCTGTAAGCTACAGCGTATAAACCTTTAAAAATCTCTTCATTCTTCATATTATTACAGCTGAAAGTGCAAAACTGTAGAGAAAATAGAAAACCATCAGAAGCTGTTTCCACCTTGTTTGAAAAAAAAAAAATAGGTCACTTTATGTTGGATGACAATAAAGCAATGACAGAAAAATAGCCAGAAGGTGGATGGTCTCTGCCACGTCTTCACGCCTGCATTAAGAACACACAGGGTTCCCCATTACTTGTGATGGAGCATGAGCCACAATGCTTTAGAGCAAATCCTTGAGGGTCACTATCCTGCATGTTTTACGTGTTCGTACTCTTCGATGTGCTTTAAAATCCTTCAGAAACCTGCTCATCAATCATTCATACAAATCAAGCACATTGAAGCAGAGAAACACCTTATCAGGACTATGGCCTATCTGGAAGTGCTTCATGGACAAATCTCAACGTCTTGACGACAAACGCAAATGTAATGCGTTTATAAATGTGCTTGCTGGTAGAGTGTTTTGACGTCTCAAAACGTGTCCTGATAGGACAAACTGCGAAGAGATACTTTTATAATACCACTATCCATCCTCATTGCCTTTTCCATTTTTCTATCAAAAAAAAAAAAAAAAGTATTCTGATAAAAATAAGAGGCCGCGCTCTTGTAGCAGCAGCAACGTGCACTCCGCCCATCTTTCGGACGACTGTACGAACATAATCTCACTGTATCCCAGTGAAAATTAAGCTTATTCTGAGTCTGAAAGCATCTACAACATGAACAATTGGCCCTCATGGACCAGGATTGGACACCTCTGCTTCAGAGCATCCACAAAACTCTTTCATATGAAATTGTGTTTCATTTGAGGGGCTGTTGTGGACATGAGGGAATTTTATGACTCTAAGCACCAAAATAAAGAACAACTTTCATGGATTTAACAAAGCAAGTCCTTCTGCATCCATTGGAGGGTGATGCAGCACCCTCCACACTCTTAATCCCCATGGTTTTGCTTCCTTTACATGGATGCAATGGTTTATTATCGTAGTGGCAGTGTGTCACGATCCTGCTTTAAGCATGGATAAACAAAGCTGAAGCAAAAGTGGCATTGTGTCTAATCTATAACTGTTAATATATCAAGTTTACAGAAACAACCTAGAGTAGATTTGATCACTTCAATTATCTTTGTGCAGGTAAACACCTCATGTGAGACAATCAGAGTGAATTATGTTAGGGGAGGTGCATGGAGCATGGTGAGGGCACAGGAGACTGTCCCAGAGACACCAAAACACAGAAAATAACCTGCAGGCTTGCCAAGCCAGAAAACTGTACACAATTGGAAAATTTAACATTAAATGCTAAAAAAAACTGTAATTTACCACTATTTAATCACTTTCTGGTTGGAGTTAGACAATAATTTCCAGATTTGTTCTTGAAAATTAAAAGCTGAGTGGTTAGAGATTGGAGAAACTTATGGTCAGGGATAAAATGGATTGTTGCTTCTGAAGAGGAGGCAGAATCATTGTCTGATGTGACATCATTATTATAAGCATCATGGTGGTCTTTCTGTCCTAATGTTTGTGTATACGTTGTTCTGCTTAAATGCAAATGTCTGCTTTGACGTCTTCTCCATACACCAGTTAATCATTGAACTTTTATCAGCAATCTCACCATTACAAACTGTGTGATTCAGATGTTCATCGGGACTTTTCTGCACATGTGCGATCAATTTGACGTGGACGACGTTAAACAACTGGAGAGTTACTAAGTGCGCTGGTATTTGTGCGTCGTGTGTAGGAGAGACGCTGAGACAGAACAAGGCAGCGGAACAAAGAGAAACCCTTCATAACCTCACTTTCTAAATCGTTTGAATTTAAAACTGTCACTGAGATGAAAACGCTTGCTGCTTTAGATTACTGCTCGCACTGGACAGTTTACCACATCGCTGCACATGTTTGAACTTTTTCTTCAACATGCTTTGCCCTCACACACACAGTGTCACTATGATCGATCCAAACTGTAAGGATGGATGGATGGATGGATGGATGGATGGATGATGGATTATGGATGCATGCAGGGATGAATGGTTGCATGCAGGGTTGGATGGATGGATGCATGGATGGATGGGTGGATCTATGGATGAATAATGGATGGATGGATGGATGATGAATGGATGGATGGATGATGCATGCAGGGTTGGATGGATGGATGCATGGATAGATGGGTGTATCTATGGATGAATAATGAATGGATGGATGGATTGATGGATGGATGGATGATGGATGGATGGCTGGGTGGGCGGATGGTTGGATGGATGATTGTGTAGGTGGATGGATAGATGATGGATGCATGCAGGGATGGATGGATGGATGGATGGATGGAAGGATGGATGGATGGATGGATGCATGGATGGATGGATAGATGGATGGATGGATGCATGGATGGATGCATGGATGGATGGATGATGAATGATGGAGGGATGCATGGATGGATGCATGGATGGATGAATGGATGGATGATAGATGGATGGATGGATGGATGGATGGATGATGATGAATGGATGGATGGATGATGGATGGATAATGATGGATGGATGGATGATGGATGGATGATAGATGGATGGATGGATGGATGGATGGATGATGATGAATGGATGGATGGATGATGGATGGATAATGATGGATGGATTCATGCATGGATGTTCTTATATAATTAAAATAATCCTTTTTTAAACAGTCCCAAACAGCTTTTTATTCATTCACTTTTTTTGACAGTAGTTTAGTTATTATATAATTACTTAGTTATTAGAACTTAGTTATTTAATCATAAATTAGATAAAAACTTATAAAACGTATTTGTTTTTAAAATGTCAGTATTGAGCCTCGTAATTTATGTGAGAAATGTTTATTGTTTACTTGTCATCAACTAACTGTATAAATGAGTGAATAGTTTGCAGCATTCTCTGATGCTAGTCATCTCTGTTGTTACTATAAAATACACATTTAATGTAATAAAATACAAATTAAATAAAGTTAAAATTAGAATTTATACTCCAAGGTTAATGTCAAAATTAATGAACTTGCATTTAAATCAAATCTCTGTTTAGTCTTGGGATTATGGACGATCTGATGTAGCATCAAACAATCCAGGTTTGAATTTTAATCTGTGGAAAGTCATTGGGCTCAAAGGATCTGAAATAGTATTTAGTAAAAATATCTCATTATTTCTACATAAACCTTTAAATACCAAATTATATATGTTTATTTAACATCTAAATTCAACCTAATATTATGACACAATGCAAAAACCAAACAATCTGAACAGAACTAAGATTTAATACAGACCTCAGTCAAACAAGAGGAGTGAGTGATGTGAACTCTTCCAACGAAACAGGATGCAGATGTGCGAAGCTTGTTGTTATGGAAACAAGTAAACAGGATCAAAAACATGATGGCTGCCAGAGGAATGACATCACCACTGAGGCAGCTGTGACACAAGAGGACAGACAGACAGAAAGAGAGAGACAACGTTCTTTATCCATCGTTTACAGATACATAACAAGACGTCACATCAGCAGCAGCTGACGTGAGAGCAGATTATCAGCAGGAAGAGAGGAAAAGATTCGATCAGTACAACTACCAGATTATCTCTGCGTGTTTCCAGATTACAGAATCAGCTTGGTTTTCTGTTTCAACAGCAACAAGCAGACATCCCAGGACTGATTTTTTTTTCTTTCAATTAGACAATTTCCAAAATGAAGCATAATGAAACTAAATATACAAAAATATTCAGAGGATGAAGACAATCCAGTCTCCAGATGTTTGTTCCTGCCAGAAAACAATAAAGCTTAATGTTGAATTTATATTTATTAGAATCAGAATCAGAATAAGCTTTATTAACATTGTACTGAAATACAGTGAGATTATGTTTGTACAGTCGTCCAAAAGATGGGCGGAGTGCATGTTGCTGCTGCTACTGGAGCGCGGCCTCTTATCCTTTATCAGAATAATTTTTAGCGATAGAAAAGGGGAAAGATCATGAGGAGAGGATGGTGGTGTTACAAAAAACATCTCGTCACATCTTGTCCTATATCAGGAATTGATTTAAGATATCAAAAAACTCTACCAGAAGCACATTTATAAACCATTACATATGCATTTGATGGCAAGACAGTGAGATTTGTCCATGAAACACTTCCAGATAGGCCATAGTCCTGATAAGATGTTGGTGTCAGCCGGCACAGTTCTGATAAGCCTTCACAGAAGTTCTCGGGGAGGGGGAGAGGAGGGGAGGTTACGATAGACAATTTTTTTCTGGCAGACTGTTTATTTCTTGTCAGCCTTGAGTCCTGCTGGTACTTTCGATGATCCACAATGGCCAAATTTGTGGGCATTCCACTGGTCCGTGCTTATGAACCTCCTCTAGGGTCGTCCCCAACATGCTGGCGAGCCCAAGAAGCCGCAGGTGGCCTGCGATTCTCACAAATCGCTTCCATCTTATGGTTTAGCTCATAAATCAGCTGATTTTGAGTACTCAAAGCACGAACCAAACCTTCACACAGACTCGGCAGTTTTGCCATGGCCGAAACTGCTGCCGTCTTCGTCCTCAATAGCCGATAACATAGGAATCTGCCAATGCCAAAAAAGCAGAAACCGTGCTATCATGATTCCAATTATATAAACATCTTTGGCGTCCTCCTGAGACAATACGGAGAGACACATCAGCTCCCAAACGCCCCATGGATCCATGACATACCCTGCAACGTGCATCCTAGCGGGGCATGAGGGCTCTCCAGGACCCTGTCGCTTTGTTGAAAAGATTTTGTCCATTGCGTTAAAAGTCCAGCTCACCAGATCCATGACAGTAGCTTTTGTTTCCGAAGATGTGTAATAGGAGCTCCAATACACAGACAGAGAGCAAAAAAGCAGGAGGAGAACAGGAGAAAAAGAGAAAAGGTGTCCGCTTTGCACAAGAGCGAGTGCAGAAAAAAGATTATTGAATGAGAATAAAAACTCCACTGAATTGCTAATTTAGAAAAAAACAAAACATTTTGATGCTTTTAGACAATTTTGACAAGTAAAACAACATAATTGTTCATTTTTCACCCAAAAAAAGTAAACCCTCTGTAACTCTATCATTTTGCAGCATAATAAAGAATACTCAAATAAAACCTGTTGAAAGGTTTATAACGTGTGAGTAAACCTTTTCTGTAACAACAACATTGAGTTTCCATCCATCCATCCATCCATCCATTTTCTTTACCCGCTTATTCCATTTTGGGTCACGGGGGTCGCCGGTGCCCATGTCCAGCAATCACTGTGCAAGATTTTTTTTCAGATTTTTTTTTACCAGTCTTCCAGAAAAACTTTTGAAAAACTGAAGCAATAAAGTAATTTCCTGAAAAGCTGTTGGGTTTTCAAGTGATTTGACATGTAAACTAACCACTGACCTTAAACTTGCTCTTTCCTATAAAGTTGCACGCAGTTCATCTTCTCAGTGGGTGTAACCACCGTCTCCACCTTCATCAGTTTCTCATCATGCTCTTCTGAGTCATGAGCTGTGGGAGCTGTCAGTTTGGGATGTTTGGATTTTATCATTTCTGCTGTCAAGGTGCTGGATTTTATTTACTGTAATCATTATACTGCATGCCCTGTGATGGACTTGCGACCCGTCCAGGGTGTACCCGGCCCCTCGCACAGTGATTGCTGGACATGGGCACCAGTGACCCCCGTGACCCAAAATGGAATAAACGGGTAAAGATAATGGATGGATGGATGGATTATACTGCATTTTCAGTTGCCTTTTAGTTATTTCTTTTGTGCAAAAATAAAAACTTTTAACATTGGAGAAATTCCACAGACTGGGATAAATTGTGCCATTTTGAGTTAATCTTAAATGTTTTTTTAAGAGTTATGATACAAGATGGCTCAATTTTACAGAAGATATGTAAGTGAATGTTACTGCTTTTTCCAAAATGGCCTCTTTAACTGTCAGTGAAAATGTTGAACTGGGGACAAGTACAAGTAAATTTGTCACAGGGATCAATCAATAGTGGTTTCAAAAAGGAAAATTACAGAAAGCATTTAAAATATGCATTTTGAATATACTTTCACTTTAATGGCTTTTCTTGGTAATAAAATATTTTTTTACTGCAATAATTGCAGAAACAATCAAAAACCAAAAATGTGATCACCATTTTTTTTTTTTTTTTTAATGAATGCAAACTTAAAAACATGTGGACTGGTCTTGACAATGTAGACTGGTCTATTTTCCAGAGGTTCTTCGTGGCCGGGTCAACGCTTATCCTCGACATCGTCAGCGCTACACACCACAGAGCCTGGCTCTGTTTCTAAAATGTGTCATGAATTAATCAGAAGCCTCCATTTAAATGCTGTCGTCATGAAATGAATGAACTGAATGAATGCATTTTGACTCAAATACACAGATCTAGGCAACCAAAATGGTGACCAACGGTAACAACCAGCTGTGGTGCATTTATGGTACAATCTGCCATCTTTTCATTGACTAGCATGCTCAACTGTTAACGTAACGGTTTAATAAGATGCAGCTTTTGAATTATGGAAAGTTTTACTATGTAAATTTCATGAATAATGTGCTTTCAAAAGCATTGATTTAGAGAAAAACATGGCAATATTCTAATTTAAATACATGAAATGAGCATTGTCAGCCTCAAAAGGTCCAAACTTTCCTCCTCATTGCAGTTTGATTTAATGCACCCAAAGTAGAAGATGTTTGTAACTTCCTAAAAATCTTGATCAGGAGTAAAAAAAAAATCCAGTCTGAGACTAAGAAGGAAAGCTTATTCTAATAAAGATGAAGACGTTGTGATAAATTAGTTGTTTTAATTGGAAACAAGCTTTGTTGTTAGGCTGTCTGAGTTCAAGTCAGCAAATGAATTTACAGTTTTAATTATTATTTTGTTGGTTTTTGTTTTGTTTGTTGCTGGAAGACTGTCCTCTACTGGTCATTATGCACAACTGCACAGATACATATTCCAGCACTGGTTCACCAGAAGAAGAGCAAGGAAAGCCAGAGGGGAAAACTTAAATAAATAAATCACATTATACAAACATGCACTTTTTTATTTATCAAAAGTTGCAAAATCTTTAGTTTAATATGATATGAGTAGTCACTTGCATTTACTGACACTTGCAATATAAAATAAATAGTTCTATATAGGTTCATATTATTCTTTGTTACTGTAGAAAGAAAGAGAAATACGTCACTTAATGGAACTATTTTGTCGTCTTGCTCCACAGAAGGAAAAGGATCAACGGATAAGCTCACAGGTGAACGGAAGCCAGTCCACCTTCACCCAGACGGGCCTGGCAGCCAGTCAGGAGTACGATGTTAAGATTTACGGAGAGCTCCAAGGCAGAAAAGGAGCTGAGAGCGCAACTGAATTTATGACCCGTAAGGTTTTAACAGTTTTTGAGTTTGTTGACGATTACATTCACTCTGACTTCCTCTTTATAACCAAATACAGCCACAGACATTGGAATTTTAGGAGCTGTTCATAAAAGTTTTAAAAAAATCATTTTGATATCAATAGACACATTGAAAATAGACAACTGTGTCATCTGTGCCTGAAACTAAAGTTCAAATAAAATGCAGCTGACTGTAATATTTACAGAATGCCTTCACTGTGAAAGAACACAGGAAAAAGGACTTCTGACTAAGTTGTTGGCACATTTAATTTATGCAAGTAGCACAATTTGCTGTGAGAGCTTAAATGATTCCGCTTTGCTGCTCTGTAGAAGATGTAATATGTGGTAAACTCAGGGATGCTGTCCAAAAGTGATGAGGAAGACTTGGACTGCAGGAGTGTAATAGTGTGTTTAGAATGCACTCTCAGGTGTGCAGGAGAAACAGAAAATCCGAGGGGATCTTTCTGTCAGTGTGCTCCCTCACTCCTAAAGCTTTATTTTACCTATTATGTCTAAATGCAAAGAGTAAATCCTGTTTTCATTCTTCAGTCATCTCTCGTCCAACCAACCTCCAAGTTGTCAAGACAACCTCCAACTCTGCAGTTGTTCAATGGGAGCCATCGCAGGGAGAGGTTGACAGGTACCGTTTGACCATACTACCCGATGATGGCGCAGGGAGGAGTCGAGAACTAAGTATACCAGCTGGACAAACCTCTGCACATATTCGACAGCTGGAGGCAGGGCGTTTATACAACATCTTATTGGTGGCAGAGAAGGGACTGGTCCAAAGCCATCCAGTGAACACCCAGGTAGTTCCTGGTGAGTAGTAACGTTTAACTTACCTGTTAAAGACCTTGAGCATCATGTGGTCACTCAAAAATTGTTCCACAGACTCGGAAAAACTAATGAACGAATGGTGCATTTTCAGTTTGTTGCTAATGTCCAGGCTGTTTCGAGAATTGAGGACAGCTGGGAAGTGAACCTGTATGTGTTTAAACACCTCATTATTCTCTGCATCACATCATATAAAACACATTACGGTGGACTATGTTAAAGTTAATGAAGTAATGCCCTGACTTCTCCATCTGCTGCTGAGCTTAGTCATACTTCCTTCTCACCAGAGCCAAACATCGTCTCTTCAGGCAAAACACTAACTTTTAATTTCTTCTTACAGGTTCTACATGGACACCGTCTTCATTTCTTTGTTGATTACTGCCAAATTGTTTTGATAATATAACTTCAGCTTTCTTTTTGAATGTATATATTTATATAATCACTTCAACACTTGCTCATCATTATGTGCTTCTGTGCAAGATTTTTTTTTAATTATCAAGCTGTTGACCTTCAACCAAAGATTAAGAGCATGTTAGGATTTATTTACATTTTTTTTGTCTCCAAACCCTATGTGTCATTTTTCACCACTTGTTATGTCCGTCCAAACAGGTCTCACTTGTAAATGAGTCTTCAAGTCTCAATGTGACTTATCTGTTTAACTAAAGGTTGAATTGAATTGAATTAAATAATAAACTTGCTTTTTTCCCTTTACTAGATATGACACCTGAAATAATTATATTCACATGTGATGACATTATATAATTCAAATGCTCATTCCTCTCACATCTTTAGGCAATACTTTATCAAGAGCTCATACAGAGGATCTGACGATGCAGGTCACACAAGCACCAGGACGCAATGCTGACAGCAAGGACCAAGAATTTAATTCATCACCTGGGGTGCAAGAAGTTGACCAGCAGGGTGGGAGAAGCCATGACTTTGTAGATGTTGGAGCCTCCTCAGCCAGTATTAATGCCAGGACCAAATCTTTGGTTGGCAAAATGGTGGCAAGAAATGGTACCAGACCCAGAGTTGTGGGAAGGCCTCTGTTGTCAAAGCCAAAAATTCCAGGCTCTTTTAGGTTCAATGCAAGCAGAATTATGCCTGGAGGGAGAATATCTGTCCCTGGCTCTGTTCATAAAAACCCAAAAGTGGCAGAAAAAGAAGAAGAAACTGAAATCAAAAGCCTTCAACCATATGTTCTTACAATCAGGGACTCTGGGAAAGACCAGAGTGAAGAGGCATCAACCTCTGAGAAGATTGATGACATAAGCCCAACTGTGATGCCTGGGAGTGATTCTGAAACAAACAAGCAAAGAGGCTCAGAGGAACCATCTTCTGCTATTGGCTCAAAAAGGCAACCAGATGTTGGCATTGCTCTGCCTGGAAATGACACTAATTTGGTGTCTTTGAACACAACTGGGACTATTCAAGGCCAAGAGAAAAAATGTCTGAATAAAATTAAAGTAACACACTTCAGATTACCCCTAAAGGACAGAGTCAATAGGTACAGAGGGGATGGGAAAGGGCTGGAAGGGAACACAACAGGGTCAGATCCAAATGAAACACCCCCACATGGTGGGACAGATCTCGACTATACACCAGATCCTTTACATAAAATCATAACAGACACTTTTGACAATTTAAATATCACAAAAATTTCAGTTCACCTGTTCAAACCTTTGAACTTTTCAGCTGATGCAGACACTGTGAGGATGCATATTTTGAAGGGACTAGGCTCAATGTCTGGATCAACCTCAGAGTCATCATCATCTGATGCTTCAGAACCACCATCTTTACTAAAACGTTTGATCTCATCCTCCCCCGCATCATTACCGTCACCTTCCATGTCACCACCATTATTTTTATCATCCTCCAGCTCAAATGAATTTGATTCACGTGGGAGCAATGAACTTGTCTCTTCCACCGACTCACCATTGCCTGAGGATAGCAAACTATCACACTCGGGTGAAAGTAAAACACCCCTTTTCCACCAAACCCCTCCAAAACGTGGATCCATGCATCGTGTATACCAAAACTTTCAATTACTTCCAAATAAAACTCATCAAGATTTAAACATTTATCAAAACCTTTTGTCTCAATTGAACCACACCTCAAAACAAGACACAGATGTTAATTTACCTGTGAAGAACATGAGCAGAGACAAAGATGCAAAATTTACATCTGAATCCTCTAGGGTTGAACAGGGCCCAAAAAGAATACTGAGAGAAAGAGCAAAGATCCCTGTTCGTCGTCCCTTTCTAAAGGGGAGTTATCCACGTCAACCCACTGTAAATGTTCGAAACCAAACTCGTACTAATCTGAAGTATTTTACTCAGCCCTCCCAACTTTCAAACCCTAAAACACATACAAATATACATACAGATACACAGATCAAGCAGGTGTTTTCCACTAAAGTGCCGGCTTCATCGTCCCCAGTTTTTGATGCTGTGACAGTAAGTGAACTAAATAAAAACATGGGGATGAACAAACTTTCCACAACAAGCTCACCAAATGAGTTGGATCCGACCACAAGAAGAAGGGGTGTGCCTGTCTTCCGTCGTCCAAATTTTCGTCAACCACGCCTACATGGTGAATCTTTCCAAAACAAAACTTTAACAAACTTGAGACGTCACTATCCATACAGAGGTTTTACGCGCAAGTTTTTCCCAACTAGAAAGCAAAACAATGGGATCTTAACCACTGGAGATCAAACAAATCATGTAGGAATAGACAATACCACTGAAAGCCCTGAAACTCAGCCTCAGCACCAGAATGTTGACAGGTCTTTTCACAGTTCCCCAACTAATAAATCAGGAGATCAAGAAAACTACCAGTTAAGTCATGTAGCCCTTACAGATGTTCACGAAACTACTGCAAGCAAAGAAAGAAAAGCGATAGAAAAGGGTGATAGTACTCTGAATGACATGGACGCCACCAGAGATTTTGCCAGTCACAAGGAAAGATTAGATCCTGGTAGAAATACTAGTGTTGCAAATCATAATAGCCCATCTTACCAACTCAATTTTAGACCAACAAAACCAGAAACAGGTCCAAATAGACAGCCCCCGTCAAGAACTTTAATAGCAAAGCATCATAACATCCACAGTATCAGTGATAGTCAAAATAAAGATCACTTTAAAACAACTCATACTGTGACAAGCCTATTGGATACTGAAGCCAATCAAACAAATGGTACTGAATCAGATGTTTCTTCCTCAGTCATGAGAGAACCTCTGAACTTTGTTGGAGTGACTAACCGAACATCTCATGGTTACACACTGGTTTGGGAATCACCAGAAGGGAAATATAACAACTTTCTAGTAAGCAGAACAGAACCTAAGCAAGACGAAGATCCGCAACAGAAGGGAAGTACACAAAAAGAATACGTAGATCAAAGTATCAAAGAAGTAACATCAGAAAATATAGGTCGTGATGATGACAACAGATTATCTGAAATTTCTGTTTCTCAAGTCCCAAGTACCCAAGATGGCATAGTAGCCAAATCAAGCAGTAGCAACAAAACCTTCAAAAAAGTGCTTCCTGGTTCAGCTCGCTCCCTCCAGTTTGAACATCTGCCTCCACAAAGGGACTATACCTTGACTTTGCTGGGAAGGGGTCCTGGCCTTCTGTCCAAACTGCACAAGCTTGTCATCAGTACAGGTACACAGAATGGTGATTGCCGTACAACATGAATTCCTACTGTGCCATCAAATATGTGTTGTCGAACTAATTTCATTTCTTCATTTGTTTCAGTCTGTTCAAAGTAGATATTTTTGTTCACAAAAAGCTGGTTAAATCACTTGTTCAGTTGTGAACTAATCAATTGTCTCGAGTACTACCGAACATACTTTTTCCTTTCCTATTAAACACCTTCTGCTCAAGCATTTTTCTCTAGAAAACTGTAAACCTGAAATTTACAGTTTCAAATTTGTCAATTCTTGAGTTTCTCACCTGGGTTTATGTTTATCTGTTTTCTCTTTGAGATGTTGTGTTTTGTGTTGTATTTGTGCACTCATTCTTTTGCTTCTATGAATATGTGAAATACCTATAGTCATGATTTACTTCACAAAAAACAACATCCTCTCAATTATTAAGCCTATCTTAGTTATTTGATGTCAAAATTCAGATATGAACAAACACATGTATAGTGTTGATTTGTGAATTGTTGCTGGATATTTTCAAGTTCAAAATTTGTGAGCCTTTATTTATGTTGTTTGTTTTAAGCATGATGTGGATCCATTTGGACATGATAAAAAATGGGCAGTGATAACAATCATCACCACACAAATCATACTGAATATGCAGTTAGTGGATGCTTTTGATGTAACTTGTTCATTAGCTAGGTATTTTTTTATGATTTGACCCAATTTGAACGCTTTTAAATTGTAATTAGAAAAGGACCGATTACTCAGCCTTGAAGAACTCCATTAAGTAATCATATTGCACATGTTTTTGTTTTGACTTTCTTGAACCAAAACAAATTCTTCTAATCTGATCCTATGGTATAGTCCACTGAGCTGACATGAGAAACATCATAAAACAGCTCATACTGCTTTGGTCTTCTCTCATTCAGGGTAAGCTAACAGCCCAACTATAATGATACCCCTTCATCTCTCACTTACATCAGTGTAAAATCAGCTAGTCACTTTACATTTGGTTTCTCTTTCCCTTTTACATTCAAATGCAAAATAAAGAAATTGGCAATTTATTGGCATTCCAAGAAAGATTAATTGTTTATTTACAGATATAGCAGTCAGAAATGTGCCAATGCTGTTTAGAGTCTATTTGAGTACACGGCATATTTTACCCCCCACCCCCCCAAAAAAAATTTATGTTTTACTTCAAATTCTTGAACTTGTGTTATTCTAATATCTGAATGTTTTTATGTCATTTCACCTTTCATAATCTTCAAAAGATATGTCTCTGTTACTTTATGTCATAATCATTCATTCCAGCCATGCTTTTGTTTTCAGGTTTGATATATGAGCTGCTAACTACTGTGTTCAAAATGTTGTCATTCTCTCCTTTGCTGCTGTCCAGGAGTCATCATCACCTTTTACTGTCTCTGTGTGTATAATCTGTATACTGTATATATGTTTGCACTGTACATATATACACAAACTCTTTGAGGCACTAAAATAAATGTGTGAATGAATAAATAATAATGAACAGTTTATTTTTTTCCGGTGGCCTTTTTTGTTGTTGTTGAAAATGTATGTATTATTTTGAAAAATGTGTTTGGTTGTTTTTTTTAATATCCTTATTTGCATTTTTATTATATAGTCAATTGATCATTTTTATAGTAATTTTATTTTTACGCCAATCTTTTTTGTTATTATAGCTTTTATTTACCTCTTGGTTTGCATTTTATTTACCCTCCAGGCCCAGAACCTCCATCCAACATAGTCTTCAGTAAAGTGACAGAAAACTCGATGACAGTGTCATGGACCAAACCAACGAGTACCGTTAATGGTTTCAAAGTCACATACACCCATTCTGACGATGGTAATCTTTTTTTTTTCACTTTCATTATGAAGAATCTATGCCAATTTGCAAGTCTGTATGACCATAATGACATTCATAGCTAAAATTGTGACCATTTTTTACTGTCAAGCACAATCCTACAACCAGTTTGAATTTAACAAAACTTGATGTTGGGCAGTGTCAGTTCAGACCATGATCCAGAAACATTTATGCACACAGAAGCATATATTTCAACAAAAAGCTGACTTATACGGCCTAAAACCTAAACATCTCTGTCTCTCAAACAATCTCAAATTTCCCATCATATTTCTTTACGCAGGTGAGCCAGTATCGGTGTCAGTGGATTCTAAGGACTCCGCTCTGAACTTGTCTCAGCTTACTCCTGGATCATCTTATGAGGTTACAATCATCTCCACCCTCGGACTCGATGAAAGTGACCCAATCAAAGACTTTGTCATGACTCGTGAGTTCTGCAGGTTCTTCTTGAGTTTAACTCAGCAAGTGCTGAACGCAACGGGAGCAGAACAAATTGTTTTACGTTTGATGCATTCATCTTAAAATAATCTTTGTATGTTTTTGTATAATTGTCTTTTGCAGCAAGTCACATTTTGTAATGTTTTTAACAAGCACTGGATTTTAAAAAAATGATCTGTTTGCATTTTTTCTATGAAATGTTTCATTCTGGATATTTCTCAGTGTTTATTTCAAACAAAATGATCTAAGATTTTCTATCTCTCACAGTCCCTGACCCCCCCACGGACTTGCAAGCCATGAATGTCACTGACTCAACAGCATTGTTATTATGGCGCCCGGCGCTGGCTGCTGTTGATAAGTATGCCATCGTCTATGGCTCAGGGACAGGTACCCACCACAGCTGTTCAGTTTCGTCTATAGCTCGAAAACATTTTGTTCTATCCCATGAAATTGCAGTTTTGAGCTGGAGTGTGTGTTCTTGGTCTCTGCAGATTCAGAGCTGAGGATCACAGTTTCTGGAAATGCAGCTGAGCATCAGCTCCATGGTCTGGAAGAATCCACCACATACACCATCACCATCAGCAGCCAGCTGGGCAGCCTGGAGAGTTCACCTGCCACGACCAGCTTCACCACCAGCAGCAGTCAGCGCACAAACACCAGATACACACAAACACCATATTGAAGTAAAGATTGCAATGATATCTAACAGACAAAACTTGTTTTCTCTCCAGCTTCTGCCAGGGATTCAGATGAAGCAAAAGACCTCCAAGCCAAGAACGTGACCCCTCGCACCGCTCTTGTGTCATGGACACCACCATCAAGGCCTGCGGATGGATACATACTGATCTATCAGACCAAAGATGAAAAACCAAAGGTGAGAAAAGTTTTAATCAACTGTTGAATAATTTTACTTCTATTTAGATTTGTTTCCATTGCATTTTAAATACTTTAGCATCTAAGCGTAATGGTAGACTGGCACTGTTAGCAACTAGTAACAAAACATTATTTTTTTATCAAAATGTAGTCAGAAACATCCAGGGGTGGAAGTACCGAATTACAAATACTCACATTACTGTAATTAAATAGATTTTTTTGGGGGTACTTGTACTTTTATGAGCATTTCTTTCAGGTGTGTAATTTTACTCATACTTAAGTATAATTTAGACCATGTAATCTACTTCACTACTTTTCAAGTCAGAAGTTGCTACTGAGTACGGACGCAATTTGAATTAATATTCAAACCGTTCATCTGCATTTTTGTTGCCAATAAGGCTCTCGGATCGCGAACACGACAATGTAAGCAAAGGACAACTCTGTAGAGTCATTTAGAGTCTACTCTTCACAGTCAAGCAAAGCCGGATAGACTCTGTTAACTTATAATGCCCCTTTTCCACAGTTCCTCCTTGGCCCCACTTTACCCTGCTCAGGCCGGTTCCGTGTTCTTTTCCACAGGGCCTTCTTTGTGGAACCTGCTGTTTTTTCAGTACCTACCTGTGGTTCCACTGAGGCCAAGCAGGACCCTAAAACGTGACGTCAGTGCACTGTTGGTTACTGATTGGTCGGGGGCGGAGTCATTGGTTGGTGGGCGAAGTTTCAGAAACTTCCACCGCAACCCAATCCGCCATTTTTTTTTTTTACTTGCCACTAGAAACAACTCGAATCTGGAGGAGTGTATTTTGGAGTATTTTGAAGGTATAAACAAACAATAATGTCTCAACCGTGGTCAAATGCTGAAATAGTTCCTTTTTGTGTTTGCTGGTCGGTCGACGAAAAAGTTCAGAGCGAGCTAGGTGTTGCGACACGTAACGAGAAGGTTTTTAAAGAGGTGTCATTGTGTTGATAATAATGATCCACCCACTAAAGGGGCACTAACGGGCACTGTGGAAATGGAAAATGAAGCGATACGACCTGTACTGGCCCTATAAGGGCCAATAAGGGCCAATAAGGGCCAATAAGGGCCGAGCCGAGCTGACACTGAACAAACGGTTCAGAACGTGAAGTGTGACAGAAATGTCAGAGTTTAAGACACATACCTGCCTGTTGTTCACAGTGTAGGTGGAAAAGTTTAAACTGTTCTATGCCGGTTCAGAAACAATTTTGTCTTTCTGTTAACAACAAATTTTCTGCTTCATCTACATTTGTTTATGGCCTTAGTGTAATTTTTCTATACTTTATTGTTCGTCTGAGAAATGTGCTTTGAATGTAGCTCTTATATACAGTAAATCGAATTGAATGCCTTCTACTGACAACAGAATAAAACATAAACTGGTTAAAAGGTAATTAATACTCTGTGTAGTTTTTGAGAAAAATACTTTGTACTTTTACCTAAGTATCTTTATAACACCATTACTTTTACTTGTAATTGAGTACAATTTAAGCAGTGTAACCGTACTTGTTCTTGAGTACAAATTTTCAGTACTCTTTCCACCTCTGGAAACATCAACGTTTCATGAAAATAGTGTAACGATTTACTGAGTACCCAGACAGTATGTGACCAAAAACAGCAACTCCAAGACTAGGAAAAGTTAAGTGTCTATTTACAAAATGTGGAATCAACAGTAGAGCTGCAACTGGGCTGGGAGGGACTGGAACCCTGTAGAGTCCAATTTATGCTCCTGGTGGATACGTAAATTAAGAAGCTCTGCCTCCCCGCTCACCCCCCGAGGACATCTGTGGACCCTTATCAGAGTGGACCAGCTGAGAGACACTGTAACATCTTTTTATCAGGACTATGGAAACTATCTGGAAGTGTTCATGGACAATTTCACCATCTTGTCGTCTCCCCCACACTGCAAAAGTGATAAGGGCAGCGTTTCATAGAAGCAGTAGCCCCAGTACATTTCCGTCTACCCTTCAGACGGCTGTACAGAACGTATTTTCGCTGTACTTAACTGTACAATGACAATAAAGTTGATTCTGATTTTTTTTTTTAAGAGTTAATACAATGGTTTAGATCCTTGGGTCTGATTCAAGACGTTGCTTGTCTCTTACTATCGGAGAAGAAGGTCATCGCATGGATGAGGGTCAAATAGTTCCAATAGTGACAAACGAGAAGTTTGTATAGATCGGTGGGCAAGTGGTGGAAGGCTAGGAACGACTGGAAGAATCACTAGGAGGCTTTAACAATGAAACTAGGGAGGTCCAAGGCACAGGAGGAACAGGAGTCAGTGCTGAAACACGTGAGACAAGGTTTTAGTCTCTACAGAACTCTTGGAATGGTAAAGTGGCCAGGAACACAACAACCGGTAGGCAGACAATGCTCCAGCGTGGGACTGAAGTCATCATCCGCCATTTATACTCTTACAGCTCATTAGGATAACGGTCCGCAGGTGCAAGCTTGTTGGCGCCATCTGGTGTCGAAGAGCTGTAGGGAAAAAAAACTGGAACTCCTACATATATCTGTGAATTTGTGGCGTCGAAATATTCTTATTTTTACTCCGTATTTTTAACTAACGCTCATTTCTTCAGACGTTCATCTCTGCCTGTTGATAGTTACGATATATATTATTTGTGACAGGAAGTCCTTGTTGGCCCCAATGAAACACAGTTCAAGTTGACCAGACTTTATCCTGGCTCCTTGTATAAAGTGAATCTACGGACATTGAGAGGAGTGCAACTGATGGCCGACACGTTCACCACATTCACCACTGGTACTTCTTTTGGTTTAATCAGAGCTGTGGTTTTAGGGGGTTATGGTGTCCATCACATGATGTTCTGTTTTCTTCTTCCTCCTCAGGAAGGCTGCGGTTCCCCTTCCCCACCGACTGTTCTCAGGAGCTGCTGAACGGCATCCTGACTTCGGAAGTGGTGGAGATCTTCCCTGAAGGAAAGCTCGGAAAGCCGATGATGGTTTACTGTGACATGGAGACGGATGGCGGCGGCTGGACGGTATCTCTGAGTAATTTCTTTTGTTCGGGAGGTCAAGCAAATATGCCGAATGCAATCAGATTTCTATTAAACATTTATAATAAGTTCTATGGAAAATGTAGGTTGACTGTATCAGCATTTGTTTATGTCACACATTTTTCCCATTGCATTATGGGTACCTTTAATTATGCCATGCTAATATCAGTCTATATCAGTTTGTCAGTCCAGGTTTGAACTGGCAACTTTCTGATTGTGAAATGATAATGGCAACCACTACGCCATCGTGCAGCTTACCTAAAGCCGAGAATGATTTAAACACATTTCTGCCGTGTCCGTCTTGACTGAAGTTTTTAAGTGTATTTGCATCCCATGTGCAGGTCTTCCAGAGAAGGAAGGACGGCTCGGTAGATTTCTACCGAGGCTTTGAAGATTACGTTAAAGGGTTTGGAAATCTGAGTGGAGAGTTCTGGCTCGGTGGGTAAAATCCTCCTTGATCCTGAAGTCAGAGTACATTAAAGCAGAGCAAGTAACATAGTTAGGGTTAGTTAATTGTTTAAAGTCTATCACCTCAACAACAGCTATGTTCAAAATATACAGCACATAGATTCAGTGTTTATAGACAGTCCTCAAATATATGAACAGTCCATACATAATTTTGTATGTAATTGTATTATTTTATATATTGTTTTTATATAATAGACCCTAAAAAATGAATAATTGACCCATGTGTATATTAATACTAACTGAAGCTAACTTTTTCTTTTTATATTTGGATTGCATTGCACACTCAAATCTTTGCTGAATAAAAATAAAAGTATGGGGGTAATTATGTAATTATATGACTTTCATGAAGTAATTATATTGCATTTTAACATTTCTGGACATGATCAGCAGAATATTCTAACTGATGTGATCATTTTACTAGAATTGTGTCCCATTTGTTTTCATGCAGTCAACTTATTCAAGCAAAGCGCATTCCTCAAAATATTCTACGTCTCATTTTTCAGGCCTTGAGAAGCTCCACAACTTGACAACGATGACTCGGATGAATCTGCGTGTCGACCTACGAGATGGAGGGCAGCGCGTGTTTGCTCAGTATTCAACATTTGTGGTGGCCAAGAGACATTACAGACTGACCGTGGGCGGATACAGCGGCACTGCAGGTGAGACAGAAGTGGAAAAAGCTTCTCAGATTTAGCTGAATATGAAGTTTAAGATAATTCCTTCACTTTGTCTTTTTTGTTCTTTATTCGTTCCCATGTCTCCAGGTGACTCTCTCAGTTTCCACAACAATCGCATCTTCTCCACCAAAGACCGAGACCCGACGCCGGGGATCATCCGCTGCGCCATTTCTTACCAAGGAGGCTGGTGGTACAACAACTGCCACGAATCGAACCTGAACGGCCTCTATGGAATCGACTTCAAACACCAGGTAATCTTAGATAAAATCCCATGTTTGCGAATGTCATGTATGAAACAGTGTTTGTCTGGATGAAGGTTGTGTGTTTGTGTTTGTCAGGGTGTGATCTGGAAGTCCTGGAAAGGAGAGGATCACTCCATCCAGTTCACTGAGATGAAGATGAGACCAGCAAACTTCAGGTCTCCCTCCAGAGGATCAAAGTAAAACAAATATACCGTAAAGATGAACTGTTTAAAATATGCAGCTGAAAGCTTGAAAGCTCTTAACAGAGGAGATGAAGACATTTTCCTTTTTTTATTTGTATAAAGTCAGTTATCAGGATGGTGTTGAAGATTGTACAGGTTTTATTTGTGTGTTTGTGTGCAGCAACATTTCAGTGCGGTATAATTTTAAAGCAGGGCAGCTCTGACTCAAGATTTAAAGGTATAGTTCACACAAATTGCAAAGCAGCTTCTAGTAGTTTTAAAAGGTGGCGGTTTCAGAGATCCAAGCCTTCGGTGGAGTCCCCAGCTCATTCAAAACCGCCCCAAACAAAACGTGTCCAACCACTACGCAGGGGTTCCCAACTCTGGTCCTTGAGGAACACCATCCTGCATGTTTTAGTTGTGCTTTGACTCATTTTGAATGAATGAATGATTAGCAGGCTTCTGCAGAACGTGAGGAAGTAATTAAATCACTGAATCAGGTGTGTTGGAGCAGGGAGACAACTAACATGCAGGGTAGTGTTCCTCCAGGACCAGGGTTGGGAATAAGAAAAGGGAACTAAACAATCTTGAAACTAATTGTTGTTAATATGCGCACAGTGAAAACTGCAGGTTTGTTTGAATAGCTTGATTGCCGGGTTAAAGCTGTTGGGTCGAAGGTTGGGTAGGTTAGACCAACAGTTTGCCATTTTAGGCCAGATGTTCACCAAAGTGGATCTAACCGCTGCTTCAAGAAGTAACGGTAAGAGAGTAAAAACACGTTGTAAGAAGACGTTTAACCTGGTTGGTTTGTAAACAACTAATGTTTGCACAAGACAGTGAGTGTGAGTTCCCAAAGCACAGTTAGTGTTAGCTAGATGACGCTAATAGTTAGCACCAACTCGAGAACTAATTATATTATAAGGTAGATTTTACAACTCAATGAGTTATACGTTAACTTTACTTTAACACAGTTTTGAGGTAGAAAACTTAACTTAACCCGGTGTGTTGATTCAAACTGACAACCTGAGTTAAACCAGCCAGGGGTCTGCAACCTGCGGCTCTGGGGCCACACGTGGCTCTTTGGTCCCTCTGCTCTTTCAGGCTTTGACCAAAACTAAAGTAAAACTGAATTTTATTTAAATTATTGCCAACAATGAAAATGGCTAGTTTGAGCAGATTTCCCGTCATTTTCAAGTATCTGAAAAACGAGGCGTAAAACGTCATGCTAGTAGTTTGTTAGCAACTTTAAATCGACTTCACAGCGTGATGTTTCACTCAGAACCACCAGAATGTTCTGGAATATCTTTAAGACAAGCTGATAAAAAGGAATATGGTGAGTAGCTTTGATAACACTAAGAATAAAACACAAAAAACAACGTCAAGGTAATCAAACATGTTTATTTTTCTTTAAAAATGTGCAAACTGGCCTAATTTTACACTGTCTTTAACTTTATGCTTTAAGTAGGATACTTAACTCTTCATCAGTTAAGAGAACTCACATCGACCTGCAGAGCTTAGTGTTTTATTGTTTATAAAATTGTTAAAAAAAATATGTTTTCCTTTACATGAATCTGGTCTTTTCTTTTGTATTAAAATGTAAAAATAATAATAATTATAGTTGGACATTTTTCGTTTTATAATATCACCCCCACTGCACAGCTGGAAAAGCCATCTCCAACAAACTTATGGTCCATGGGCGACGAGTTGACAGTGCACAGTTGCAGCAGGTTTTGCGGCTCCGGACATCGTAATTAATAAGCAAAGTTGCAAAAATGGCTTTTTTTATTGCAAATGTTGCAGACCCCTGAGTTAAACTAATAAAACTACCCAGAGCTGACGATTCTAATTGACCCAACGCTGGTTTCCAATTTTTTTTGTTGTTTTTTTTTTTTGGTTGTGCATATTCTCTGCATAAACAAAAACAGTAAACAACACTGACTGCATAATAATCTGCTTTAACTTCATCAACTAATAATTGAAGAAGCAGTCGTATTTATTTTAGAATGCATCACGACTTCGATCAGTTTGGCAAATTTTATTGAGAATTTTGTACGTGACCATCAGACAAAACTGAGAAAATGTAGCTACAATAAAAATCCCACAAATCCAGAATGAATGTTTTTTTTTATTAACTTTTCTACAAAAACACAGATTTGAAATATCTCTGTTATCTGTCAGTATTAATAATGTAAAAAGCCCAAATAACCCTGAGAAGGTAAATGTTTCTAACAAATAAAGCTGCCTTCAAGTCACAACTGTGTTTCTGAACACAATTATTTCAGTAAAACTTTGCATTATACGTTGGTCTTTTTGGTCGTTAATAATAAAATTGTATATTGTTCAAATTGTTGACGTGTTTTTCATCTGATATTGTTCTGTCAGCAGCATTTAAAGCTAATTTTGGTTCTTCCAGTCACACCTTTTTGATTGTAAATAAGCTAATTGTTGCTTGGTTAACGGAAACTGCAGCTCAAAGGCAACATTTTGTGCATGCATTTTTTTTGTTTGTTTTGAATATATGGCAACAAACTTGAAAATATAAAGCTAGTTTTTAAACATGACAAAAAGAGGCAACTAATATTTTATATTTCTGATTAAGTTTTTACTATAACCAAAGCAGAAACAGGAAAAGGGAGAAAGAAAATCGGCTGTGATTGTTACTTAAAGCTGAACATCGCCCCCTGCTGGTCACTCTGTGAAACTTCAGCTCCTCTGTGGTTTTTCAGGCAACTCTCCAGCTGAGGTTCAGCTGCCAACTGTCTGCTCAATGTTTGTCTTCTCTGTGATATTTTGTTGTCATTTTGTAAACATATTAGTTTTATTATTATTTTGCCTTGTAAAAAAAAAACAATAAAATTATATGAAAGCTAAAGGGTTGCTTTTGTTGCTTATTTTAACCCTTTTCTACATAAACGCAATTCTTATTTTATTTTTACTTTAATTTCTCCTTGATGGAGAATTAAAGTATGCTGAAAACAATTATTTATTGCATAATTTTTATTTTAATGTGTTATCTTTAAATGATTAGTATTGTATCCAGTAAAATTAATTTCAGCTGAAGAAAACAGATCTTAATATAAACGATTAGAAGTAAAAAAAAAAAAAACGTTATTTTGAGCCTTGGCAAGTGTTTTCTTTTGTGCATACAATTTTCTTAAATAAGATAATTACATTTATTGGATGTTAAATTCTAGAACTCTTTACAAAAAACTAATAGCATCAAATATTTACATTAAATCAATATCGGATCAGCAAATATCAGGTGAAATGTGAATTATTCATTATTATTCAGCTCTATTAATGAAAGCAAGAAACCATGAAAACCTTGATTAGCATGTTGCTTTTTGCCAGTCGTTATTCTATTGCCACAAATTAGTGATTAATTAATTAATTAACGTATTAATTTAGTTTCTGTTCAGCTGGCCGTTCATTAGAAGAAACAAACAAATATGTATTCTTAAACATGTGAGCTATGTGGCAATTTACAAAAGGATAATAATTTATAAGTAATTGAGATTTTTCAGCGCTGACTCGTGTTTTAATGCCAGTGGGAAAATAAATCTGAGCTGATGAAAAACATATAAATACTTGTACTTGCTATATTTGTAGGATACATGTATCTGTTTTTTAAAAGGCTGACTCTGCTTTTAGAATAACCTTATTAATAACTAATAAATAGTTATTATTTGAGTAATTAAAAGCTGTAAACATTTATTAACACATGAATAAGCAGTTAAGGTGCATTAGACAAAAAGGATAACACTGATTTGTTTCTTGTCAAACATTTATCTGTACTCTCCATTCTCACCGTTGACCTGCATTTTTTTATAATAATAAATAATTTACAATGGTACTCTTGCTATGAAGTGTTGCTAAAGTTTGTAACAAAGTTTTAAAGACTGTTTTCACTCAAGAAACTAATGGGTTTTTCCCAAAATCTAAAAGGACAAAAGCACCAGCAGTTAATAAAAACTTTAAAATAGTCAAATAATTTGGAAGACTGTTTTTGTTTCAAGAAACTCGTTGCAACATTAAATATAAAAGACGAGCTGATTTAAATCAAACGGTGCAGTTTGAAAGATAAAATGTGGGTTTGCGCTCAATGTAAACAAAGCACCCCGTCCAACAAACAGCACATGGGAGCTTGAGTCATGTGATTGACCTAAATTATCTAGGCTGCAGGTAAACAAGTATCAGAAAAGCGTGGATCTTAAAAAGGACGTTCAGGTGGAAATTTAAATTTAAATTTTTAGAATGTGACAAAATAAATATAAAACAAGTTGCACGTCTGTTAAGAATAAATATCAGGGATCAAGCGGGACACATCTTAAACACATCAAAGTTCATGCTCAATAATCCAGGTAAAACATCCAACAAAGTTCAGTCATGTCATCTGGATGGTTTCTTTGTTTTTATTGAGCTGTTTCATCCTTCATCCAAAGGACTTCATCAGTCCGAGGAGCCACAACAAACCCATTCCCACAAGCATCACACTCACATAGTGGACCAACCAGTTTGATGGTGATAAGATGGTTTCTGGGGCCTGCCCTCTCCCCCGTCGACTCCTCTGAGGCAGATTATTGAGTGAACGTTGGTGTTTTGAACAGTTTTGGCTCAGCGGAGTCGACGGGAGGGAGGGCAGGCCCCAGAAACCATCTTATAATAATGATAATAATAAACTTGATTTACTGGTCTATAGCTCCTTCCAACAACGCCCTGCATTGAACAAAGTGTTTTACAAGATAAAACAAATAAAAACAGGCCACAATGAATCCGTGCAAATTAAAAACACAGCCACAATTTTTTTTTAAATGCTAAATACTAAAAGTTAAACATCAAATTCCATTCAGGTCTTCAGTTTTGCTTTGAACAAGTAAATTGGTTACCAGTAACCTGGTTGGTCCACTATTTGAATGTGCTGCTTGTGGGAATGAGTTTGTTGTGGGTCCTCGGACTGATGAAGTCCTTTGGATGAAGGATGAAACATCTAAACAAAACAAAAAACGAAACCATCCAGAGGACCTGACTGAACTTTGTTGGACCTTAAACGCAGATCGATTGGATCAGATATGAGAAAATAATTTGCTTTTTTTTTTTTAACTTTCCTTACATTTTGGGTGCAGTCTTCATGACTTTGATCATTTTAAAAAAATAAAATAAAAAAATCACCCCCTGTACGAAACACAGCTGCATGGGCCATGAGTTAAGGACTTTATATGATTTGTAATTTGAACTGTGGAATGTAATGTGCAGCATTTTGTTTATCGTTGTTATAAACTGATCTTTGATCGAGGACCTTGTGAGTTTTGATTTCCGAATAAGGACTCGGGTGCAGTTCCCAGATGTCCTTTTAAACACCCTTTGTTTGTTTAATTGGTCCCCAGCGTAAAGCTCACGCTCTCACCTGCTCACCAGGCAGCCAATAGCGTTGTTCCTCACCTGCTGTGTGAGCCAGCTGGCCTCCTTGTTTACAGGTGCATGTCACCTGGGACCGCCGACTGATCCGATGCTGGGAAAGTGGTTGGACAAAGATGAGGCGGAGGGGCAGAGCGCGGCTCAGGGAAACTGATCCCAAACCCACAAGGCAGGAGGCTGCAGAGACACCTGGAGGGCTGAGCGCCCGCAGGTGGTTTACAGTTCAGAGGAGGAGGTTGGGAGTATTTTTAGTTAAAAGAGAAATATATCAAATGCTCAGAGCTTTGTAAATCTGGATCTTCTTTATCTACTTGGGTGATTTTTGCACGGTTCATACAGAGCACGCTCAGTGGAAAGAAGCCTGGAAGCAAAGTGAGTTACGTTCACACACACGTTTTTATAGTCGGGTTTAGAAACGCCGTTAATGAAATAATAAATTTCCTCACCACTTCATCTGCATTCAGAAGAATTCAAGTTAATGTTCAATAATTGCTGCAAAACAAAACAGCTTCAGTTTATACTTGAACGCAGTTAATTAGAAAACTGTTTTTAATTGTGCACAAAATGTAAACTTTTTAATACTTTTTTGAATACTATAATAGATACAACTTAGGTACTGTCATGTAAATGCATGCAAAACTTGTTAAAGCAATTATAATTTTACTTTTTATATGAAGCATTAATTTTAAACGAGTGTTTTTCTCCCCTTTAAAGTCTTTAACCAAACTTTACATCTAGTTTTCAAAGACAACTCCGTGATTTACTAAATAAAAATGTTTTAAAATGACCGTGGTTGTTGCACAAAAAGCTATTTTATTTGATCCAAATCATAAATATATATTTTAAAAAGTCATATCTTTCAATTTAAATTATTTATGGGAAGTAATTGTTGTGAAAGCAATGTTTATTTTAAAATATTAGCATCCCAAGAGCATGCACTGATTGTGCTAAAGTAAAGTTCAAGTTATTGTTTTTTAGTGATAAGAACATTGAAAAACAACATTTTCATCATTTAAAACTTTTGTTTTTTGTCATTTCAATGTGATAAATATCTGCCTGAGTGTGTTTGAATTATAATCTCCAAAGTGAGCTGAGGTTACAGAGAAGATGGCTACTTATCTCCTGCTTTCTCAGAACTCTCCACCATGATGTCTCCGGACGACCGAGTCCTTGAGGACCTGTTGTATGGCAGCGACCTCGGTGACAAAACGGAGGAGTTGGAGCTGGGCGGTGTCCCTGCAGTGGGGGAGGCCGAGACTTCTGCTGCTGCTGCTGCTGCAGAAAATGTAAATATAAAAGATTAATTATATTACTAATTTTATAATAATGCAGAATAATCCAAACTTAAAGAAAGGCCAAGATTAGGAGAAGATTAAAGTGACAAGAACCATGTCCAGCAGATACAATGGGTAAAGGAGATGGATGGATGGATGGATGGATGGATGGATGGATGGATGGATGGATGGATGGATGGATGGATGGATGGATGGATGGATGGATG